TGAGACTGTTTCACAGCCCTGGAGTAGTAATAGGGTCAGGGTGAGACACTCACCTTTCAGGGAAGGTGGGCCCAGGATCTAAGGGTCCATGGCTCCAGGGTGCTCATCAAGATAAGAACTCATTACTGAAAAGAGGGTGTCAAAGCTGGGTTAGCAGCAGTAAAAAGGCAGCTGTAACAAAGATTTCACATCTTCTGCCCAGGTACAAGGTCTTCTAATAAATAGTTCATCTTAATATCATAGATGATGGAAATGTCCTTGCCTCCTGGTGCATTTTCCAGGTGTTTCCAAGATGCTTGTGTGCCCACCATCTCTTATCCACACAACAGCTGGATGATCTTTTAAGAATATAAATTGGATCCCTTCATTCCCCTGTGTAGAACTCTCCTAGGGCTTTCCATTCCTACCAGGATAAAATGCAAGTTCTAGGAGTCCTGGCATCCCTGGCCCTAACCACCCATTCCCCCATACGGTCTCATCACTGTCCTCTGTGCTCAGGAAGCCCCAGTCACTCTGGTCTCCTTTTTACTGTATTTTTAAGACACGCCTAAGTGATTTCCACCTCAGGGCCTTTGCACTTGCTGTTTTTAATTCATATGTCATCACTACTTTACCTTCAGAGACTTTGGCTGGCTTATAGGCAAGAATTAAACAGCAAAGAAACTCCAAAATGATGTAGAATCTTTGATTTTGTGGGTTTGACACGGATTTATTTTCCCCTTCATTCTTACCCAGTTGAAGCCTAGAACAGTCTGACACCTTCATATTAGAAAGAGAGGACTGAAGACTGGAGACAGAATGGGACTTAAACATTCTTACCCAGTTGAAGCCTAGAACAGTCTGACACCTTCATATTAGAAAGAGAGGACTGAAGACTGGAGACAGAATGGGACTTAAAGCCACTCACATTTTGGGGAGCGGAATTGTCCAAGGATGCACCCAGAGGTTGTGACTTGGACTTGTGCAGAAGGAAATTTAATCTTAACTACTTGGACCTGCTGTATTTAACAATAACATAGTTATAATAATGAAACTTCCCTCTTTCCCCTCCCTTTCTTTTTCTCTGCTTTTAACTTTGCTGAGTCTAAGGTTGTATATAAGCGGCCACAGACAATCCTGAATTTCTCTTCCATTTGCATTATCCTATTTTTCTTTGTAATAAAATATTCTTTTTTGAGGCCAGAAGAGGGTAATTTGTAATTTATGAATTTCTCTCTTGAAATTACAACTAGAACCTAATTTAAAAAATCCAATTGGTTTCATCTAATTAAATTTGTAAATTACCTCATAAACACATGCTTTGTTATAAATGTTTTTAAAAGCAAGGTCTCTTGCTTACTGTCTGGGACTGGATTGGGTTGAGCCCAGAGTAACAGGTACTTCTCATCTCTCTACTCAAGAGAACATACTCTTCTATCAATTGCCAAAAGTTTCTCAAGAGTAGTATTTTCCAGAACAGTGCTTCTGAAACCGTAATGCCCATAGGAATCACCCAAGGATCTTGATAAACTGGAGAGGACTGAGCTGCTACATTCCTAAATAGCTCCCAGGTAATGCTAATGCCACTGGTCTATGGACCACGCTGAGTTAAAACATCTGTACCTGCATTTAGGAGTCCTGGGTTTGGCATCTGGGTAATACGACCTTGGTCTTTTCATTTTAACCCTCTGCACTCAATTTCCTCATTTTTATGTAATGATAACAGCTAACATTTATAATGTTATTTCTAAATGCCAAACACTGTGCAAAACCTATATTTAATTGGATCTTCAGAGTAATGCTATAAGGCCATTTTATTATTACCTTGATTTTTCTGATAAAAGACTTAAGGTTCTGAGAGGCCACTTGATGTACTCAAGGTCACAGAGCAAGTAAATGTCAGAGCAGGGATTCAGATCTAGGCTATATGGGCTCAAATGTCACCATTCTTTTCTTAGGCCTCACTAGCTTTTGATACACATGACCACACTCATGTTTATGCTCACAATACAAAGGCCTAAATCTATAACCTCCTTAGGTGTCCTTACAGCATCCCTCAATAATTTTGGCGTATTCCCCAAAAGTAGCCTCAAATGCTTACCAACAAGTCAATCAGTTACAATACTCTGGTTGTGGTTCTCTGCAATTACAGCCCAAGTCACAGCCAAGAAGCTACTTGAAGATATCTTTCATCATAGTTGTCTCCCATGGAATCCACGGGAATGCCAACATCCCTGGCATCTGATCTCTGAAAATTCACAAGGCACCAGATTCACACAGAAGTGAGAAGGACATGCTGCTCTAATCTGCACCCACCTTTGTGTGTGGGGCTTCAGAGACTGCACTATATAATAATGCCTCAATTACAGGAGGTTCTACTCAAACACAGAGTCTAACTCACAGTTGTGTTTGAACCCTTGCTCTCCCTCTGTTTCTTTCTTCTTATTATGGAATTTTAATTATGATATTTCTCAACCAGTCTAATGCATCATCCTACTAGAGGAAAATGTATATTGCCCTCAAGGATCCAGTCTAATGCATCACCCTACTAGAGGAAAAAGTATATTACTCTCAAGGAATAATCTGTGCAGAGATACGACTCCACCTGCAGCATCACCCTACACTAGTGGTTTCCAAATGCAGGTATGTACAAGGACCAGGGCTTTTCCATGACAAAGTTGCCATCAATCCAATGCAAAATTAGAAAAATTAATGTGACTGTCATGAGTTAGTAAAACATCATAAATTTATTCAATTTGAAGGATGGACTTTTATTCTGATATTATATCCTTTCTGTATTTTTGGAATTATGTCTTTTATAAAACAATGTAAATAAGAGATGTTGAACTACCCTAGGTTACTCCCCGAAAGCTTTTTAAATGCTACTGGCCTGTGAATTCCAAAAGTCTTCAACATCTGGCACAGAGCGTCTTTTACATAACAGTATCAAGTAACTTAACTTTCTAAATCAAGGGTCCTTTCCTTCTGCTTTACAAAGAAAAGTTTGCCAGGCACAACAGATCTTCATTTCATTTAAATATGTGTGTGTGTGTGTGTGTGTGTGTGTGTGTGTGTGTCTGTGTATGTGTCTGTGTATGTGTGTATGTGTGACTGTGGTCTCTGCTTTACAAAGAATAGCATGTAGATTTGAAGTGATTGGATTTTGTTTCAGTTAATTTTCCAGTCCCTGTCTTTCCCAAAGAAGTTTTGAAAACGTACTAGGCAAGGTGTATTGGTATGAGTACCTGCCCTCCTCTTAGGGTACTCCCCAGGAAGAAAGCTTCTCCCAAGCGTGTGGCCTGAGAAAGTGCATAAGAGGTGGGGATGGATGTTTGTTTTCGCCTTCCATGTGGTAATCCTGAGAGCTGCACCAAGCTCCCTGCAATTTCTAAGAGGAAGATGTTAGCTCTCCTGAGGAATGCTACTTTTAGTGAGATAAGGTGTTTTCTTAAGCACCTTGTACGTGTTGGATAATCTCCCTCAGAGAGTTCTCAGGACCATCTATGACTCTCTAGAGAAGTTATGGGTCTGTTAGATTAATCTTGAGTACTTTTCCTTCATCAAATACTCCTTGACTTTCCTCCCCAGAGCTCACTTTTCCTTATGGCAGCAATAATTCTTCCCCCCAAGCCCACTCCCTATACATGCATGCTTCTGCATGAGCACTCAGTGGCTTAAGTCTCTTCATTGTCCTGTGGTACATGTTTTGGTCTGGGATGCTTGTGTCTTTCCCCCTCGTCAGACTCCCTAGGGAAACCCTGAAGAAGTAATTACCACCTTTATTTTACAGATGAGAAAAATGAGGCTTAAAGAGAGGAGGACGCTACCAAAGGTAACTCAGGAGAAGGTGGAGCTACTAGGACACTAGGCTACATCATTCCGGCTTTGATATCCATGCCCTTCCCTCTGCATTGCTATGGGTTTCCATTTGATCTAGTATCGCAATCTTATGATGTGTAAGAACACAAGGGATGGAAGAAGACTCAATCTTACTCACATCCCAGTACTTGAATCTTAGCTATATCACCTTTGTTGGAGATTTGTTTTGTTTTGTTTTGCAATAAACATTCATACAGTTTGTCTTATTTATGCAACTTTGCTGGAAGGCACATTGTGTTGGCCTGATGGGTACATTCCTGCCTGAGTAGGTTCTGGTTCATCTCTGATACGGTAAGGCCCTGCTAATGCTTGGAAGGGGGGCTTTGGACGCCATCACCTGGATGACAAAATATGCCTTGGACACAGAGCATTTTAAATCTCAAGCATCCTGTGTTCCTGCTGCAGAGAATAACATTGGGATTCTTTTCAAAGCAAAGGGGCCGATATTTGTAGAGTGAGCGTCATGTGGGTATTGCAGTTTCCCAGATGAACTTTCACTACTGTTTGGCAGGCCTGGGCCTTCTCTTCTACATAAGAACAATCTGACTCCCTGGGTTTTGGCTCCTTTGTGGATGAGGTCAGTCGTCACCACTGTCATTTCAATGCATGGTATGTACAAATTTCTTTGTCCTTGGGGCTACCAAGACAGTTCCACTGTGTGCCATTATGTTTGCACCCCATTGTATTGTCTTCTTTTATTTATTTATTTATTTTTTTTGAGATGGAGTTTCACTCTTTTTGCCCAGGCTGGAGTGCAATGGCACGATCTCAGCTCACCACAACCTCCGCCTCCTGGGTTCAAGCGATTCTCCTGCCTCAGCCTCCCGAGTAGCTGGGATTACAGGCATGCACCACCATGCCTGGCTAATTTTGTATTTTTAGTAGAGACGGGGTTTCTCCATGTTGGTCAGGCTGGTCTTGAACTCCCAACCTCAGGTTATCCACCCGCCTCGGCTTCCCAAAGTGCTGGGATTACAGGAGTGAGCCACCGCGCCCAGCCCCCACTGTACTGTCAGAAACCTTTTTATAAGTCACATTTTACTCACCTTTATACCTTCAGTGGAATGGGTATTCACCAATGTCAGGCTGAAGTGACTTGAATAAAGCTAAGCCAATGGATGCAGCACAAGGGACCTCCTTACCTCATAGAGCGTGATGACCCCATTGGTCTCATTGGGAGGTTTCCACTGGATGTAGATCTTCTCCTCAAAGGGCCCCCCTTGGATGGATTCTAGAGGAACAGCTCCTGGAACTACAGAATGGAAAAGTTATGAACTTGACGTCACCTTCCACATCATTTCTCTAGCCCCACTAACCTAGAACAGGGGTTGACAAAGTTTCTATAAAGAACCAGACAGTAAATATTTTAGGTCTGATGGGCCGTACATTCTCTATTGTAACTACTCAACTCTGTCATTTTAGCACAAAAATGGCTATAGATAATCCATAAATGAATGGGTACAGTGGTGTTCCAATAAAACTTTATTTATGAAAACAGGCAATGGGCTGGATTTGACCCATAGGCCATAGTTTGCTGACCCATTTTCAGAAGGCTGATCAGGCTTTTCATCAGCAGACTGAGCAAGTCGGTCTATGAACTGAACCTGATAAGGGTAGAAAGGACATGAGCAGTTTCCAGTTCTGCCAGAGGTGGGAATCTGAAAGGAGGTCTTTGCTTCAGGGGTGTCTAATCTTTTGGCTTCCCTGGGCCACACTGGAAGAAGAAGAATTGTTGTGTGCTACACATAAAATACACTAACACTAGCAATAGCTCATGAGCTAAAAAAAAAAAAAAAAAAAAAACAACAAAAAATTACAAAAAAAATCTCAGAACGTTGTAAGAAAGTTTATGGATTTGTATTAGGCCACATTCAAAGCCATTCTGGGCTGCACGCAGCCCAGGGGCCGCTGGTTGGACAAGCTTGCTTTAGGATTTGTATTTGAGAAATGCAAAGTGAGCTTCCCGTCATCTTACCAAGCATCATTTTCTTTACTCTGCCAAGTTTTCTCTAACTTTAGGAAGTGCTTCGTCAGTTTCCTGACTAATTCCTGAATCCAACATGAACTATGTGGTTTGAAACCCCAATCCAATTAGAAGAAGCACGTCTTGCTCCAAGAAGGCAGCTAGCTTGACTTGCTGTTGAGTCCCAATGCCTGGCATGAAGTAGATGCATAATAACTATTTGCTGGTTGAATGAATAGGTGAATGAATGACCTATGCCAGCATTTTGCCCTAATGAGTGCAACCTTTCCTGGGGCTCCTTCTGTAAGCCGATCAGCCTTCCTGCCAGCATCCTCCTGCTGGATTTCACTATTCTTACAACAGTCTGGAAGATGGTGAGCCAGAAAACAAATTATTCCCCAAACTTTCTGCCATAACCCCTTAGAAATAATGAATTTCAGTAAATTGTTACCAGATCTATTTATATTTTGGCATTATAAAAGCAGGTACTTTCACTAAGCACTTACACTTGGACTAGAATTTTACCTACATTATTTCACTTAAGCGACAGAACAGCTCTGCCCAGTAAGTATTATCTCCTTTGTGTCAATAAGAGAACTGAGGCAGAGAAAATGGAATAACTTGCTGAAGGTCATATGGCTCTTAAGTTGTAAAGAGGGAGCTAAACACCTGTCTGTGAGTTTTAAAGCATATACTCTTAATCATCACGCTACGCCTCTCTACATATAGCCTTGGCCATATGTTGCAATCAGTTCTCCTTTGTTAAAATATGTTCAGTTTTGCTCATTATGGACATGATACACAGAATTTGTTGAATATTAAGAATATATAAAAAGGTTAGAAAAAGAAAAAAACAAAATTACTCATAATTCAAATGTTCAAAGATATTTTCCAATCTTTTTATGCATATAAAATTTTATTTAAAAAAAGATATGCCTATTCATATATATATATATTATTTTTTAAAAACGTTAACTCCTACTGTGCATATTGCATTGTGACCTTATTTTATCACTAAAGAAATTGCAGACTTAAAAAAAAAAGGGTGTTCTCTAGGGTCATACATTTTAATGGCTGCTTAGAGAGGGTGTTGCCCCTTTATAGTCACTGATCCTTTATTATTGGGCATTAAAGTTGGTTTGAATTCTTCATGACTTTGAGCAATGCTGGAATGAGCATGCTTATAGGTAAGTCCGTATGCAACTCTGCAGATAGCCGTTAAGATTAACGCTTCGGAAATCAACTTACTGGGCCAAAGTAAATGAACTATTTTTAAGGCTTTTGACATATATTACCAGATTGCCTTTCAGAAAGTTTGTACCATTCTGGACTCCCCAGCAGAAGACGATGTCTGTTCTTGCCAACACTGACTATTTAAAAAATTAAGTGCATGTGTATGTGTATCTTTTTTAGAATACTGGAGAGTACAGATTTTGTTTTTAGTTTAATGAGCCATTTACATTGCTTCTTTTATGAACAAATTATCTATACCTTGTGCTCATTTTCCTGTATGGCTCTTCATTTCTGCTCATCTTTGTCTTACGGGCTTGTAATTGTAATTTCATTTTAAGGACATAAGCTTTCTTGCATAGGTTGCAAATATATTTTTGCCAGTTTTTTGTTGGCTTTTAAAATCGTTTATGTATGCAGAAGCTTTTAATTAGTCAGGTATCCTATTATTTTCCCTTATCCACCCTTCCTTTCCAGAAATATTTATTATGTATTTAATATGATCAAGGTACAGTGATGGACAGTAGAGATGCACCAATAACAACAAAATAGAGGTGAGCTCTATCCATGATAAAGCTTGTATTCTGGAAAGAGAGACAGACATTAAATGATTATACTCAAAATTAATTCATTACATTTTTTTAAAATCAGGACTCTGACATAAAGGGATATGGTACTAGGAGAATTATTAAAAGCAGGGAAAAACCTAGAATGGCAAGTTAGGATATTAAATGGCACACAGATTAGAGTTGCTGGATAAACAGAGTCACCAGGGCAAAATGGGGAGGAGGTGTTGTAGTGTGGTGGATAGCTTTGTGAGGTTAAGGGTGGAAGGAGAAAAATCAGTTAGGAGGCTGTCTTTGTCATCCCGGGGAGAAAGAATTGTAACTTGGACTGGAATGACAGTAGTGTAGAAGAGAAATAGATTGTATAGGAGATTTGGACTCAGAGGATGGCAATGTGGAAGATCAATGGACTGTGCAGGAGATCTGGGGATGCTAAACTAACATGACTTGATGGTGATAGATAAGAGTGAAGGATGGAAGGGATGTGTCATGGAGAACTGTAACCCTTTTGTTTTATACAACTGGGGGATCAGAATGCTGTTTATAGAGAGGGAGCCTTAAAGGATGACCAATTTTGGAGAGGAAGCTGGTGAGCTCAGTTTTTGTCATACTTTATTTCAGGTATACATAGAACATCCAAGTGGCAATGTTGAGTAGCAGTTGGATATGGGAAGACTGGGGCCAATGTTTGGAAATGGAAACCGTGGGCAGGGAATAGATGGCAAGAGTATAGAGCAGAGAGAAAAAAAAAAATAGGTCTAAGACTAAGTGAAAAAGAACTCCAGGATTAAAAATTAGGAGGAAAATGAATGGAGAAACTGGGAGTCAGTGTTCAGAGAGGCAACCAGAAAACCAGGAAGGTGAGCTGTCATTGTAGCATCCCAGGAAGGAAAGAGGCTCAAGAAGGTATCGGTCAGCAGTCACAAATATGGCTGAGTAGTCAAGTAAGATGTGGTTTTAAACTTGCCCATTGAACCTACTGTCCTCAAGGTGACTCGTGAGCCAAGCAAGAGTAATTTAAGGGAGAATGTTGGCATCACAGGTCATCCTGAAGAGGGTTGAGAGGAGAGGGGAAGGTGAGGTGAGGCAAGTAAACAATACTGGCTGTGAAAAGGAGGGGAATTCAAAACATAACAGGAATGACATATAGAGCCAAAATCATGACTCTCTTAAAGATAAGAGAGGTTATGATTAAAGCAACCAAGAGAAAAAATTCAAAATAGAGGCCAGCCACGGTGGCTCATGCCTGTCATCCCACAACTTTGAGAGGCCAGTGTGGGCAGATCACGAGGTCAAGAGATTGAGACCATCCTGGCCAACATGGTGAAACCCCGTCTCTACTAAAAATACAAAAATTAGCTGGGTATGGTGGCACGTGCCTATAGTCCCAGCTACTCTGGAGGCTGAGGCAGGAGAATTCCTTGAACCCGGGAGGCAGAGGTTGCACTAAGCCAAGATCATGCCACTGCACTCCAGCCTGGTGACAGAATGAGAGTCCATCTCAAAAAAAAAAAAAAAAAATCAAAATAGAAGAAAGAAGGAGAAGAGTGAGAAAGAGAGAGGAGATAACTGACAGTGGTAGGGTCCTGAAAGCAAGAGCAGGGGTGGGTTGAAAGGAGGGTTCTCTCGTTTTGTGAGAGAAGAGGAGACGATGAAAATGTGCTAATGCTTTGTAGGGAGGAACTGAAGTGTCCGAATGGCTCTGTTTTCTTGAGAAGTGGGGTGAAGCCATCTACCAAAAGTGTAGTGGGGGACAAATTGCATCAAGAATTTGGAAAGAGAGGAGAAGCTTTAATCATGGAGAGTGGAAAGTAAGCAGAATAGAGAGATGAAAATTCTATTCATTCACCCGAGGGTCTATCTGGTGGAAACTGAGGAGGGTCTGTTTGATGGACGATAAGAAGGGTCTATCTGATGAAGATTGTGAGCATAAAACTCAAGCTAATAGATCTTGGTCTTTCCAAATTGGAGAAAATTCTCTTTTTCACACCAGATCAGATGAATGGAAAGGACAGATGAATAGTTGTTTTATAATTTATTTATTTTCTGGTTTATTCCCATCTTTTTCTTTTTATACCTGACACTTTAATATTTCTGAAATTACTGTGTATATTATACATGGTAGAAATCTAACTAGAATTCCTTACAATTTTCTCAATTGTAAAGGATAATTAATTGACCAGTCAAAACTTTCCCCGGTGATTTAAAATGCCATCTTACCACCATATTAAATTACTTTATATTCTAGCATATGTTGTTTGGTTTTCTGTTCTATTTCACTGAGTTGTAGCTTTTACTGTGACAGTATTTCTCTGTTGCATTAAGATGACATGTTTTGATACTTGGTAGAACAAGTCTTTTTATTATTCTTCTTTTGCAAAGTTTTCTGAGGTACCCCTACCCATGTATTCTTCCAGAAGAATTGAGGAATAATTTTATAAAATTTTAATTATATTTCATCAAAAATTTTACTGCAGTTGCACTTTTTTTCTC